CATCCATCATGGAACAGGCTTCTCCATCCTGGACCATACATCCCCATCCTGGAGCATACACATCATCCTGGACCATGCGTCTGCATCCCAGACCATGCATATCATCCTGGCCTGTGCGTGCCCATCCTGGACCATGCATTCCATTATGGACCATGTACCCATATCCCAGACCATGCATCCCCATCCTGGACCATACACTCCCATCCCAGACTATGCGCATCATCCTGGACCATGCATCCTCATCCTGGTAACTGCATCCCTATCCTGGACCACACACCCACCCCATGGTGTTGCCGCCAGTGGCCATGCTTGCATGCAGAGATGCTGCCAAACTTGTACTGCAGAAGGAGCAGGTTCCCCGTGCTGCCACCAACCCTGTCCCCCCACCACTCGCCCCTGCCAGCCCCCACCTCGCTGGAGTCCTCCTGCTGATTGATGACGGTGAGGGCATCCTCGGAAGCCTGGCGCTTGGCCTCGGCCAGGGCTCGCTCCATCTTGGCTCGCTCCGTCGTGATCAGCTCATGGGCTTTCCGCTCGGCGTCCGACACGGCCTTCTGCAGCTCCGACATGGCCTGACGCTTCACCTCGTTCACGGCTTCTTCTGGAAGGAAGGCAGCTGAGCATAGCACGGGGTGTGCTGGTACCCCAGCCCTGGCTCTGCGCGTCCTCCTCTGCAGCAGGGCCATAGGGACGCCCCCACCGCCACAAACCCACCCCAAGCCCCTCCAGCACCACAGGCACCCCAGTGCAGCACAGGGGGAGGATGGGGTCAGAGACCCCACCAGCGTGGCACACCGATGAGTGCTGCTGCCTGCCCTGCACTCACCAGCCTTCCTCCAGATCTCCTCCGGCATGTACCCGGAGAGCGGCCGAGGTGTGAACTCCCGGTGAGCATCTGCGAAAGGAGAAGGGGCAATGCCATGAGGAGATGTTGTCCTTCTCGAACCCACCCTCCAGCAGTGCCAGACCCCATTAGGAACAGTACAGGCACCCTGGAGGGGGGCGCAGCCCCACTGAATGCATCCCATGGCCCCAGGGGTCAATACCTAACTGGGGTGCCTCGGAGGAGGAGGAGCTGTTGTGGGGCCGGGCGGAGGGGGGGCTGCCCTTCTTCATGTCCTCGGCATCGCTGTAGCGCCGGATCCAGTGGTTGAGCTCCTCGCGGTCGGCCTCCTGGCACCGCCGCAGCACCGTCAGCGCACGGC